CACACATAATCAACAAAAAGGAACGAGAATAACCAACACAATTCAAGTTCCAAGACAAGATTTCAACATATCGAGTCAAATAGGATTGTCAACATAATCCGAAGCTGAAAAATAACCCACATGGTTCAAGCAGTTCAACCATTCCCAAAACGCATAGTGAAAATAACAATGTCATGGTTCAACAATGTCTAATAATCTCAACATAAATATCAAAGAATGCGGAAGCAATAAAAAGCAATAATAAAGTTGACCATCCACTCGTCTTTATTCTCGTCATGCCCATCACCTGATTAACATGCATCCATGAAGAGCAGGTGGGAAACAAAGTGCGAGAGAGATTATCTCTTCTCTGATGTCCACGAACGAGCAGGAGGAAAAGAGAGCTGCGGGATTGATTACGACGAGAGCATGGGAAAATCTCTTCTATTAATACTAGTAGGGTTACACTACATCCCATACTTGGCCATCAAGAAACCTACCATAACCAAAACACAAGAGAGGGAGGAAGGGTCGGGCTCTCGATTTAATTCTTACGATATTCGAGCCCGGTTCGATTGAACGGTTATTAAAAAAGAAACCGAAATATATATAAAATATATATATATATACACAATAATATATTTTAATAATAATCATTTAGACAAATAATAATAATAATAATAATAATAATAATAATAATAATAATAATAATAATAATAATATCAATTAGTCATTTAATAATAGCAATAATAATAATAATAGCAAGGTAATTTATAATAGTAATAATTAATAAAAAAAATAAATAAATAATCCTAATTTATTCGCAAACGAACGGGGCATTACAGAAACAATCAGCTGTCTTAAAAAGAAATGTGTGTGGAAAAAATCAAAAGGAAAAGGGAAAGAAATCGTCCTCTCTGCTCACCAACATAAAGAAACAGAAGAGTGGAAAACCATACTTATTTTTTTACAACATTTAAATTTAAGATCATTCTTTAGTTACTGTTTAAATTTTAGAACAATCTTTAGTTACTTTCTTCTTGTAGTTCATTTACTTCACATTTAAAAAAAAAAAATCATTTACTGTCTATTTTACCTTGGGAACATTAATAATTTATTCCGACCACTTCATATTTTCTATCAAAAGTGAGTTTAAGAAATTTAGTACCTGAAACAAACACTCGTCATGAACTTAATTAGCAAAAACATATTTCCACCACGTGTATCGTATGTGCATTTGACTAATCCTATAAAAATTTAACTTAGAATAAATATGTTGTCTTACAAAACATTCTAAAAATATTTGTGACGTAAAGAAAAAGAAAGCGTTAATATGTACATGAGATGATGAGAAAAGGTGTATGGGTAATTTTATCTATAAATTTTGTGGGGGTGAAAAACCCATGCTTTTGCTTTGTCATAAGCTTTATAATAAGCTTTTTCTAACCACACACTTTAAATTTGCCGATTTATTAACAAAATGTTGGATATGAAGCCCATAAAGGAAAACCAAACTCACCCTTACATCCATAAATAAGTGATGGAAGCATAAATTCGAGAATAAAGGTCCAACATGTAAGCTAAAATGTCTCCTCTCACCAACCCATTCATTTAGTGATT